TGCAATAGTTGTGTTTTATGTTGCTAATATAATGTTATTTACGTAACTGTTTTACTTGAATGATAAGGGCAATTGTATGAAACAATTGAGCAGAATAACCTAGAAAGGTAAAATAATACTAATTAATATTCACATCACAAATCATTCTTAAAGTAACAACTACTTGGTTGCACGTTAAGTTAATTTACAAATGCTACTTACATTCCAGAAAGAAAACATCAAATAAGAAACAATAAAGTATACTATATTTTTGAATGCTAGTGAATCACACATAGTAAATCACCAAAGAAAAGAGTGATTTATGCTCAAATCCTGCCAAGACTTTAATCAATATTGGGTGTCACATCTCAAGGGATTGGGGGAGGTAAGTAAGGCAAAAAGAAAGTGATGAAAATTTGTCTCACTAATTTACATGCAACTCCTGTAAAATGTAATAGATTAATCAAAAAGTAACAGCAGACTTGAACTACTGAAAAGAAGATTTTTAAGATGCAGTATCAAATGCCAAAAAATTATAAGGAAACTCTGGGGGGTCAGAGAGCCTGACTTATAGTTTATTCTATGTAGGTGAAGCTTCATGAAATAAAATGTTCTTTGTGCAAATTAAAGTTCTTGCCTCAGAACAGTAACAAATAAATTGCAGACTTCAGAAAGTAAAGCATCTTCAGAATCATGTGCACTTTTGACAATAATGGTTGATATTATTGGAGACTAATTCCAAGGAAAACAACAGGTTTGAATGCTATGATCCAAATAACTCAAGAAGTTCTGCAATATAACTTCATTGAGAAATGCAAATCCTAGGTTAGAATACTTTCATATTTCATTTATATATTGATTATTAAACTATAATTTTCTAATATTTTTAAAACAGGCAAAAGTTGTGGAACCAAACTTTCATATTTTATATCTTAGTCTTCCAATCACGTCGTATTCTTTTCAAAATGTTATAAAATAAGGCAGTAGGCTTTATAGGAATCATTAATCTACTGTAATACAAAAACTTCAAAAGCCTGGTCTCTCTATATGAAGTAATTCTTGAATTTCTCTGTGCTGAGTGTCAAAATTATCTGTTAGAAGTGAATGGATCTGGATTTGTGTTGAAAGTTGTTTCTCTATCGATGCATAAGTCGGTGCCATTGAAATCAGGCAACAGAGGAAATGTTAGACACTGCTTCAGGTTTCTATCTTTATTAAAACTACTGACAAGAAAAACAAAGCCAAGAGTTGGAAAATAATTTATTCTTCTTATACTAAAATTTTATTCAGATATTACTACTGCAATATAAAAGGCTTGGCAATGGCAAGTCTTTTAGTTTTCTGTCCATGGATGGTTTTGACTTTTAAGACAAAAGAGTACTGTTTTCAAATATATGTATAAACATATAAAATGTTTGATAAAACTAACTGGAATCTACTTGTAGAATCTCATTCACAATCTTGTTTGAAAGATACTAAGACAAAATCATTTTCTGACAATAATCAAAGGAATTAGCATTTTAGATGACTTAACGTTAAAAGTCAGTTTTTATTAGTTGAATTCATAGAAAATTGATTCCTAACCCAAATCCACAAACAAACAATTGACTCTTGCAAACAGACTGACCATGTACATAATTACTTTCTTTTTTTTTTTGTTGTTATTTAATGGCTAGCACTTAATTAACTGACTTCTATTTTAACAGTCAAGTTCCTCCAACTAATGTTTAGTTTTAAAATAATAATTGGAGGAAGCTGATCAAGGTCACACTTTGCCTTTTGACAACTTTTAAATATATTTCCTTATGCTTTCTTTCATATTTTGAGACCTATACTTTCTTGCTTTACTATGTACCAGGTGAGTCTCTGTTTAATCTCCTAGAGATGGCCTCAACCTTTACTCCAGTTTTCATAGATAGCATACTAATACAATAGCCCCAAGCAAATTAAATCTGCTCTGAGGTTTGCTGCTAACTTCTTGAGCAAGTTTAAGAAGCTTCCTTTTCCTCAGCATGCTTTTGGCTCTTCAGATTCCCTTGTATTTAAATATTACAAAGAGTCATAATTAGATAGATGTTCTGTAAACAGCAGAGATCTCTGTCACACACACACTATACATGTATGCATGGTATACTATATATATATATATATACACTGACATATACATAGTTTTATATACTTCCCCTCTTGCAGTTTCTCTTTATACTCTGCATAAATTATTCTCTTAGACTGTTAAGTAGCTAGAGCAGAAAGAAACTGGGGTGAAAGAAATCAATATATTTAGGCAAATGGAAAAAAGATCCTAATAGCAAAGGCATAAACTGAGTTTGAATGAAAAAGTAATTTTAGTTTTTAAAATTCAAGATTCAAAAAATATTTAGTCTATTGCTTTCAAAGAAGCCCACAGTACTTGTAATTACCATGAAAAATAATAATGCATTACAATGAAAACAGTATATTTTAGTAAGAATGAGTTCAATTACACATTTTTTTATTTCTTTAGTTAGTGAAGAGTTAGGAGAACCTGTGTAGATACACGCAAGCACACATACATGCATGCGATATTTGCATATATTTGCGTCTGAGTAAGCTTTTTACGTGATATACAATCAAAATTCAATAGCATATCAACAAACCTCCCATATTGAACTTAAAAATAACCTGATATGGGATTTTAGAGCCAAGAGATTGAAGCAGTAGTCACGAAATATTTTTGAAGGGATAAACAGTTTAGCTCCCAAAGCTGTTGTGAACCTCCCGTTGGGAAAAACTTTTTAAAAATTAGTTAATAACTTTAGGACTATTCTTCAACCATATGATAAAAACTTCAGTTCAAAGCATAGGCAAAAATTCTGAAAATAAAAGTATTGCTTTACCTTGACTGTAACATTAATAATACAGTCATTGAAGGAAGTTTCCTCTAGCAATTATGTATGTGTGTGCCTGTGTATATGTAAAATGGCCACTGATTACTTAGTAAAATGTGTACTGGAAAGTAAGAAACACAGAAAGAGGATTCAGAGAAAAGTGGGTATTTCATTGGTAGAGAAAATCAGCATTTAACTAATTTATTGGATAGTCAATTTTATAACAATCGTATCTGAACTGACTTCAAATTTCATCTAGCATTCTTCATAACTCCATCACAATTGTCTGCCCAGGCTCAGACAGTTTTAGCAATAGATTTTGGGCAAATATTTTCTACTTTTGATGACCAAGGACTCCAATTATCGGACTAAATGACGTTTAGTGATCTTGATCGGCCCCCACTCCTACTGCCACCTGTCCACACACTTGGGCACGTGCGCGCTCGCACGCACGTACGTTTGTACACACACACACACACACACACAAAATACACACTCTTACCCAAAGAGTATAAACGAGGGTTCAAAAACCAGACACACACCCATGTCCCATATAAACAGAACGGCAAATAAGCATGAAAAAAGAATTTCTGGCTAGAGTAAGGAATTTGCTGGGACTGAGTTCGACTGTTTTTTGTTTTAAAGCTTTTTCTGGCACTAGCAAGAAATCTTTCTCCAAGGAAGAAATAGCGGTGTTGTCACTTCCATTTCCTTCTGGTTTCCTCTCTTTCCTTCCTACCTCAGTTTCCCTATCTCTGCTAAGTGCACACACCAACTCCGTTCTTTCTCTGTTTTTAAACTTATTTGGAGGGCACCAAAGTTTCCGCAAATTTTGCGCTCAGTTCCCACGTGCCTGCTGCAGGTCTCCCACTTTCCCTATTTGTCTTTTTCTCCCGGAATCTCAAAACTTTCCCCATTGCGCTTCTCTGAAGGGGGAGAGGGGGGCGGGGGGGGGGAACGGGGTTGACACAAAGCGGAATTCTGAAGGGGGGCGAAATGATCTTTTCTACCCTTGAAACTGACTAGTTGCCCCACTCCCGCCCCCGCTGGGTAGGTCCTCCCCCACTGAGTTCATTAACATAAAACTGGGCCTGTGACTATTCCGAGGCCTCGGGTGTGAGTGCGCTTTGACTGGTTAGGAAAGCAAGGGCAGTGTATTCAGGCCTGCGGGGTTTCGGGAACAAAACGTGCACCTGCTCAATGCGTGAGCTACTAACCTTAAAAAGAAGTGTGTGTGTGTGTGTGTGTGTGTGTGTGTGTGTGCGCGCGCGCATGAGAGAGAGAGAGAGAGAGAGATTGAAATGAGAAACACGCGCTCTGTCTCCCTATGTCCCGGTTCAGGTTCTAAGAGTCTAGGGCACCGGGTCACTTTCTCCCATTGAAGAAAATCCGCTGGTGCTCTTGCATCTGCCCCGGGGCAAACGTGCCCCTTTATTTCCTTTCCACATGCACACGCTCACCCGCGGACACATGCACACATGCGCGCACACAGACCCCTCCCTTCGACAGGCTTCCCTTGGAGACTTAGGGCAGAACTCCAGCGTGTCCCCTGGGATGGCCCCGGGCCTCTTGGCCTAGCAATCGCTCCCCTCCTGACCTCAGAGTGCCCTCCTCCACTGTCTGCCCACTACCGCGACTTCCTAGCGGGGCCCCTCACCCGGAGCGTGTCTCCCAACTCCCAGAACCCTGGGGGCAGGGCCATGACCTCCTCCCGCCCCCGGGAGGCGTCCAGAGGTTGCGGTGAAGCCCAGGTCCCGGGGAGCGCACACGCCCAAGAGGATCCAAGAGGCCGGGGTGCCGTGCCGCGGAAAGTGGGCCGTGGCTCCTGGAGAGGCGCGGTCCTCCTCCTTCCCGCTCCCTTCGCCCCGAGGCTTGGGACTCCCAAGTCCCGCAGCCAAGCCCTGGCGCTGCAGCGAGCAAAGGGTGGACCGGGCCGGAAGAGCTCGATCTGGGGAGGGCGAGGTGCGAACTTCTCAGGGTGCCGGGAGCGGCTGAGGAGCTCCGGGGAAACAGAGCTAGGGCCGCGCTCACCAAGGGCGCGCGGCTCGCGGGCGCACGGAGCGAGAGGCGCAGGGAAAGGGAGCGAGGGAAGGGCGGGATAGGAGGCGGGTGACAAGGGGCCGGGGGCGGCAGAGGTTACCCTCCGCGCTTTACCTTGCGTTGGTGCAGTCATTGTAGAGCGTCTCGAAGTCCTTCCTGGAGATGAGTTTGCAGCGGTTCACTCCAGGCTGGATGGCGCCCAGTCCTCTCAGGATGCGAACCTGTTCCACATTGCACACCACCGGCGTGATCTCCAACCGCTTCAGCTTGGTGTAGACCGTGTGCAAGCCCCCCACTAAGTGCTTCAGAAACAGGTCGAAAGCCTGGGGCAGGCAGATGAGCTCGCAGCCCTCCACGGTGAAGGAAGCCACTTTGGCCCCCCTCAGATCCACCATTTTGCACTCATTATTCTGGGGGGTGTTTTCCACTGGGGACGGGGTTGAGTACACGGGTTTCCCGGGGAGGGGGCCGCAGCTGCTGCTGCTGCTGCTGCTGCTGCTGCTGCTACTGCTGCTACTGCTGCTGCTGCTGCTGCTGCCGGTGCTCGCGTTGATGGGGGTGCTGGAGGCGCCGGCGCCGCCGGCGCTAATGCCGCCGCCGCCGCCGCCGTTGCTCGCGGCCGCCAGGCTGGGGTTGCAGTTGCTGCCGCCGCCTCCGCTGCCGCCGCTGCCACCGCCGCCTCCGCTGCCGCCGCCGCCACCGCCACCGCCGCCGCCGCCGCCGGGAGAGGTGACTGTGGCCACCGCCGCCGCCGCCGCCGCCGCCGAAGCGATGGGCTCCGGCCGGAACAGAGTTGGCCCAGAAGACGCCGGGGGTCCGATGGACGGAGCCGGAGACGAAGTCGCCGAGGAGGTGGAGGTGGTGGTGCCAGAGGAGGAAGCAGACGTGGAGATCGGGGGTTGAGGGGGGACCAGCTGGGTCGGAGGGATCAAAGCCGCCGGCACTGCCATGGTCACATATAAGGGGAAACAGAAGGAAGAGAAGCGAGGGGAAAAGTTGCCACGCACCCCCGGGAGGGGAAGGGGGAAAAGAGGGGGGAGAAGGGGCGAGGGGGGTAACAACAACAACAAACTCTAGGAGAGGATGAGCAGCAGAAAGGGAGAGTAGGGGGACCAGGGAGGTGAGGGTGAGAAAGAGCGAGCGCCGGAGGGGCGAGCGCGAGAGGAGAGGCGCTCTGGAGAGAAACGCACAAAAGTGTCCCGCAAGTCGGAATGTGCGTCCTCTCCCGGGGCTGGGAGCGAGGGCTGGTTTGGGGGGGGCGGGGGCGGGGAGGGTCGGCCGTGGTGGTGTGGGTCCCGCTCTAGCACAAAGTTAAGGATGAAGGTGAAAAGGAAGAGGATTGAGGGACTTGGGTTCTCCCTGGCAAGTACATTGATCAAAGATTGAGAGGGGAATGACAGAGAGAAAATGAGCTGAAAAGTGCAGGCTGCCGGCTGGACGAGTTGTTGTTGTCACACGGTGCAGAGGGGAGGAGCTCCGGAAACTTGAAATACCCTTTGAAGCCGCAAAAACCTCACTCACTCACTAGTATTAACCTAAATTATCCAACCAGGAACTAGGAGCAGAGACTGCGAGAGCGCGAGACACAAGGAGAGAGAGAGAAGAGAGACAGAGAGAGAGAGAGAGAGAGAGAGGGGAGGGGGAGCAAAGGGAAAGAAACTGTGAGAGGGAACGGAAGGAGAGGGTAAGACGGGACACCAAAGTGCCGATCGGACAAGGAGAGAGGCTTATCCACTTTTCTTGTGCTACTACCGTTAGGTTGCATGTCTAATTTTCTAATATTACATTTCTTCCTCGACGATTCGTAATTTCCAACCCCCTCCTCAAAAAAAAATTAAAAAAAAAGCTTCTAAACAATTGCTTGCAAACTGAGAAGAGCCAGAGTGCTCTGAGCTCTCCTTCAAGGATTTAGGATGTATCCCCGCGCGTTTTGCGATGAGATAGAAATGAAAACATATCCCTCCGATTATGATTATTAAGAAATTATTTTGAGAAGATTCATGTGTCAGCAAAGTGTAGTGTTTTGATGCATCTGATTGTATTCTTTCTCTGTTAAAAAATTTATTTATATTATATGTGAAATTTTCAGGACAGTTTTCAAGTTGTGGGAAGAAAGTCAGTCCGAAATTGCTTAAGAATAATGGAAAGCTTGGAATAGAGGTCCTTATTCATAAAAGTCCTTATTTCCTAATAGACTATGAAAATAAAATGTTTGCCATCAGATGGATCATTTAGAATAACTTCACTTTCGCCCCAAAAGCAGGTTAGAAATGCCTTGTATCTAGAAAGATTAGGCACCCTTGAAGATTTAGAAAGTGGAAAACAAAAGCACGCTGATGTTTCTTACCCAAAACTCTAATTAATTCACCTGTCTTGCAGAGTAACCAACTATCCTCACATCCTTTAGGACTCAAGGCTAGTTGATAGTGTGTTAGGTAACACAGTAATTTTTCTTCTTATTTGAAAAGTACTACTATATTTTGGGAAAGTCCTTTTTAGTTTATCAGTGGAAATGTGTTTTCTAAGTAATGAGAAGAACTAAGTTCACTGGTTGACTTTTAAAGACAGAAAGGATAGCTATGCTTATAAACAATGTGAGACAGAGTTCAGACTGACTCTCTTCCTCCTTCCCTTTCACTCTTCTTTTCTTCCCTCTTCTAACTTGTTGCATGGAAGTATTTATTCAAGGGTTTTTCATCAAAATATGATTTGAGCATAGGTCATGTCTGTTTGGTGCTTATTATCTCTTGGAATCTTAAATAGCTAGGCTTTGAACCTGTCTACACACGTTCAGACTTCCCAAGATATGAAACAATGCAATAACATTTGACAGATTTTAAAAATAAACTATTAGGTTCACAGTGTTGGGAAATTTCATAATGAAATTTCTTGCATTCTGATGTTGAAATGATCACTTTTCTTTTTATCATTTCAATCCTTTAAATTCTTGGAAGTTTAGTGTTATGTGGTATGGGAACACCTGCAGAGAAAGATGAGACTATTGACTACTTACTTTAAGTCTAGATTAAACTTCTGGGGGCATAGCAGTTCTATTAGGAGATTTTCCTAGGTTAAAAGAATTCAAAAAAATGTTACAGAAACGTAGATAAATTTCTACAAGGGTTGCTCCAGTGTACACCACTCTTTGGCCTAATTAACCAATGCGTTTTAATATATTCAGAAATAATTTTTATTACTACTTCAGTCCTCAAATCTGGCCTCAATTAAAAGAAGGGGGTCAATATGTATCACATCAAAAACACTTCTTTAAATTTTGTTTTTTGGGTTTTTTTTTGTTTATTTGGGAAAATATTACCATTTTTTAAAATGTCAAATTACTGTATTAATGAAGGGAAAGGAAGAAGAAAATATTAAGCTCTGAAAAACAAATTTTATTTTGAAATTGCATGTCTAACTTTAATAAACTTCGATGTGGTTTTAAAATGGTAAATTACATATCATCATTTAAAATCTTAGTCCCACAAATGGAAAAAAAAATGGGAGTTGAATGCCCAAAGTCTATACTTGTCTTTATCATTTCTTGCATTTCCTTAAACTATCACTCCTCCATTACCTGCCACATTCTGAAGCCACAGGCAGGAAGCTATGATAGCAGACCAAGCCATAATCCCACCCGCCTTTCCAGGCCACTCCTAATTTTCTTCTGCAGGGAAACCTGTGCCTCCTCCGAGCACGTGCTCCACTCAGAAGCAAAGCTAGGGGGCATTTGCCCCCACCTAAATGGAAGCTTTCTCTGACCTCGGTCGGTCTCTACATTGGTTTACATTGGTTCAGGGAAACACCACTTTACTCCTTTGATCAAAGGTTAGGATTAGAAAAAGCATATAATGCAAATTAATATACATAAGAAAGAAAAGCCTTGAAAAATTTAAGCATTCCATCTCTCTCTCTCTCTCTCTCTCTCTTCTCTCTCTCTCTCTCTCCCTCTGTTTGCCTCTCTCCCTCTCTCTCTTTTAATCTTTGTCTCTTTTTTTGTTGGGGGGGAATGCTATGGTGAGGGCAAACAGTACTTAACAACAGAACACAGATCAACTTAGGAAAGATTTCAGATTCTCACTCCATTGCCTCTCCGGCTTTCAGAGCTTTTGTCTTGTTTGTTTATTGTTTTACATCTCTGGTTATTTCAGGTCCTCTCTCTCCATCTCATCTGCCCCAACCTTCACTCAATTTGCATAAGCAAAACTCAAAGTACTGTAACTGATATTAGAAAATTCTCCCTGTGTTTTGTGAAGACGTATTGTGCTGAAATCAATAAGACTGTTTAAAATTCAAAGACCTGCAAATCGTTCTGTTTGTCCTTTGATAGGGCCTGTGCTGATTAAAATGCTACCAAGAAAGCTTAATTGCTGCACTAATTAAGAAGTCTTTAATTTCTTTCCTAGGATATCGTTTGAAGCTTAGCTTGTACCAGTTCAGGGAAGGTATTTTCTTCCCTCCTTCTGTTCCCTTCTGGCCCCTCCTCTTTTCTCCCCCCCTCTTCCCTTTCCCCCTTGATGAGATCCCTACCAACAGGAACTAATAGGAACAATGGTCTCAGGTCTCATCATCTATTACTTACATAAAATCGGCACAGGCTACAGAGTTCAGTGCAGTATGAAATGCAGTTTTTCCAAGGGCTGTACGGTTGCAGGAGACAGTAAGAAAATGCAAAGTAGCTGTTGCAGCCAAAGTCCCGGTGAATACCTGAATGACAACAGGCACTTTAGCGGATGATAAGGGCATCCTATTTGGTTAAAAGGGGCAGTGACAAGAAAATGAAACAGGGACACATAAAAAACATACTTTTAAAGCCTGTGGTTTATAAAAGGATGAGTAAACCTGTAGAAAGATGGACTTACAGTTGGGATTTAGTCAGTCTCATTTTATATTATGAGCATCGAAAGATGAAGTCTGTGGGGAATTATTTTTGACCCTCGTTATAACCCAGGGAAGTGCAGCACTGTATTACATCTATAACATCCTTATCTATTGACCTATTTTATTCACTGATTTTTCAAGTGGGGAAACTGACTAAATGATTTCACAAAGCTTTCTCCATAATCAATAGTCATTTTTAGGTTTATTCATGTTGCATTATAATTCTGGTAAATGACTGCAAAGCAGAAAATTGTAAGAAAGATATAAATATTGACAATGCCAAGATCAGTCATGTCTTTAAATCTTCAGACTTTCAATGTAGTAATTGGTATAGTTATTTTTAAAAAGTGAAAATGCATATTAAATAGAATATAAAAACAAATGTGATTAAGTAACTTAAAGGCAGTATATATATGAATGTGTTTCCTTAATATCTCACATTTTCCTGAAAGCTATCTCTTCTTTTGGCATCTCTAAGAGAAAGAGAAACAATTTTGGCATAAGCACAAAGGACAAGAAAAGATTCATTGCAATTTTATTCTTTTAATTTTTCCCAAGTTCTATTAGAAGCATGCGCAGAAAAATACAGATGTATACTCCAGATATACACTGAATTCCTTTCAGTGACAGGACAAGGAGATAACATGCTTAATAGATTCAAAAGGAGATCTGCCATTCTGAGCACGACGCCACTCTAATTATGTTTACTCTAATTGAAAGCAAGGTTTTTTGGAATCTGAAATTACTTTCAGAATTTTTTTTAAATAATGCAAGTGGATCAAATGTTGATCACAAGCATTTCAATCTTTCAAAAAGTATTGGAAAATCAAATGAAAAGTAGAGTTTGGTACAAACAATGCCCCAGGGCAAAAAACAACTAACACTAGATTTTCCAGTCCAGCCATAACACAAATCAATTTGAGCACACTTCTATGGCCAGACTGCCAGATTGTTATGACTGCTAATTCACTCAATCAAAGAGTGCATTAGCACACCCGGCACAAATAGCCTTAACAACAGAGTGCATTTCTCAACAATTCCAAGCTATATCACGATGGAGAAGTAAAGAGGAAGATCATTTTTACATCTGCATATTTACTAATGGATCTGTTTCCTTAATAGGAAATTTAAAAACCAAACTAAGATAAACTTCAGACATAGGTTTATTAAACAGCCATCAAAGTTTGGCAAATCTAGAAAGGTATCAGGGTACCAGTAGTTCACTGACTTTGTTAAACGTTTCTCAGGAGAGAGTCCAAAATTGATGTTTGCGCTTCAGTAGTAAATCATTGAAGATGGAGAAATTATGCCAAGTAACTCTCTCAAGCCTTTTTAACTCAGACACGTGTCCTCACCAATCCACTGAACAGATAAACCTCAACTATCTTAAGCACAGCCTTCCTAACTTTAGTACTTGCAGCCTCTGCCCTCCCCATTTTTCTTTCCAACTTGACTTTTGATGGCTTTCACTTCCAGAGGTTCCCTCTCTTTTCTAATTCCCCACCTCTCCTCA